GAAGTACTAACACATCTTGCCTCTAATATGTATTGTTACTTTGGGAGATAATACAACACTGTCATGTTGCCATGTAGCCAGATGGATACGGTCTGCAGGACCAACTAAGTGTCAAAGAAAAAAACAGTGCGTGATTAGAGCCTCGAATGCTGCAATCAAATGCAGCTCATCTCAACTCTGTGTCTAGAAGATGATGGCTACAGGGGTGGGGGGAGCAGTTCCAGAAGAGACAGGTTTTGACAGAGTTGCGTATGAGAACTAGATTAAGAATTGCATTTTCAGAGCACAGAAACCTGGTTTCTCATTATTTCATTCCCTTTGATCTGATTAGACGTCCATGAAGAAGCTATTGCTTGTGTTCAGAAAAGTAGCTGATGTTACAGGCTAGATGGCTAAGTAGCACCGTGAATTTTGGAATCCTTTTGTTTTCACTCTGGCTGTTTGATCTGTGCTTTGTCATTCCACAAGCCCCGGAGTTCATACTGCTGTCTGTTTTTCTGTTTATCTCTGTATTTGGAGTATAGTATTTCTCTTCTACACAAAGGAAAAAAATCTGAGAATCAAAGGATTACTCATGTGTCCAAATACATCACTTGGCACTGTGTGCTGACTAAAGCTGCGCACAGGGCCAAGAGCTGATTTGTTACACTGGCCTGCCTGCTCTCACATATTATTGGATTAGGAGCATCTGCATTGGAGTCGAGCCATTAATTAAAAGCTGTTTAAGTGCATATTTATTTCTCTCTGGGCTGGGATGTATAGGCGTATTGCGGAAGCATACTCTCCGCAACTAGAGGTTGACGTATGTATACAAGTGTTTCCTAACTGTACCTGCTATTTAAAAAGTTATTTGCACAGTAGTGAATCTTGACATCGGTGAGGATCTCCTCCTCCTTCCCTTAAGATTTATATGTTCTCCAATACTTAGACTATATAGTCTATGTCCCTGCTGCGACTGTCTCCTGGTGTGATCCTGACTTCTGATTATTGCAGGTTATGTCCTCTCCAGTCATGTAACAGAAGAGATGCTGTGGGAGTGTAAGCAGCTAGGAGCTCACTCCCCTTCCACCTTGCTCACTACACTGATGTTTTTTAATACAAAGTAAGTACTTAGGTCTTTGGGAATCTTGGTGAATAAAAGAACTTCAGTAGGGTTGGTAGGGAACTGCTGCACTGGATTAGGGCGAAATCATGAATTTCGAATGGTCGCACACAGAGCCCTCTTGCAGCCCCATCAGGCAAAGAAGATGCAGTACTACAAGGAAATGAGCTAGCAGAGGGGAAACTGAACTTGTGGTTGTTGCATGCTTTTCTGCTGGAACAGTCTTTAACTTGGTGTTGGTTTGAGCTTCAGCTGGCTCATGATGAGTAAAGATAACTACCTAACTGTTGTGACTGTATCCTTTACTTGCCTCTGAATGTCCTGTGTTCTCTTCTTGCTGCTCAGATACTTCCTGTTGAAAACAGTAGACCAGCACATGAAGCTGGCCTTCTCCAAGGTGTTGAGGCAGACCAAGAAGAACCCTTCTAATCCCAAGGATAAAAGCACGAGTATCCGCTATCTGAAGGCTCTTGGCATACACCAGACAGGACAGAAAGGTAGTGTCTGGAAGTTCTCTTTGGGAATATTTACTTGCTGGGCTTGAAGGAAGTGATGAACCTGGAGGTGTCTGCAGGTAGGGCCACAAGAACCCAAGGCTCTGCCAATTACCTTCAGCCTAGCAGCATGAGTTTTCTGTGTGTTCTGTCTGAGAGAGCATAGTAGCTTCTGATAATAAGCCTGGGGGCATACCTTACCTGAGGCACATAGGACTCATCAAGAGCTAAGGATAACTTTTTCTGTTACTTTTGGGTTTTATGGTCAAAGGGGCTATTTGGTGTAAGTGCTTATGAACAGAGGGAGAAGCTTCTTCGGGAGGGTTTCTCTTATCTTGACTCATGTGAACCCATATAGAATCCATATGTAAGTACAATCTGTCCTCTTAAAAGCACAGACTTGGGATCTAGCTGAGGCATTGCAGTCTCTGTAGTGAGATTTCTGTCGTTTTGGGCACAGGTAGAGGAGAAATGGAAAGAAGGATATGGGTAGGTTGTGATCTTCAGTAGCCTTGGGATAAAACAAGCTCTCCATATAATGCTTTGAGCATTTATAACCAGGTGCCTCTGCCCTGGAACGGCCTTATGTCTCTTGGCAGCTCTTGCACGGTGACAAGGTGCTTCAGAGTGCTGAGGCTGTATGGCACCGCTCGGTTTGCTGTACTTACACAGAGTGTCTGACAGACTTCTGGGGGGCTGGTTTGTAGTTACAGATGACATGTATGCAGAGCAGACTGAGAATCCAGAGAACCCCCTGAGGTGTCCGATAAAGCTGTATGACTTCTACCTCTTCAAATGGTGAGAGCACTTGTTCGTGTGTATGGTTGCTTGTCTTCTGTGACTGTTAAGCTGCATCTAGTGGCTGGCCTAGTTTTCAGGGCTGTGTTTTATTGCTGGCACAGTTTCTACGTTTGCATAAGTTTACTTAAATGGGGAGGGGTGTTGATGTGGGAGGGTGGGATTTACTCTGACGGCACATAAGTTGAACTTCTGTGGTATTTAAGAGAGACAAATCCTGATTTGTGAACTGGCTGCTCTTAATCTCATACTCTGGAGGTTTGCTGTGTTGGCATGAGCTCGCTGTTCTGCCTGTGACTTGGGAGCAAGTCATCTGGAAGCATCCACTGCTTCGGATGAGATTAGGGTCCTATTCAAATCAGCTTCTGAACAAAAATGAGGACTTGCTGTGGAGATTGGAGGGAGCCTCAAAGGACTTGCCTCTAAATTATGATGATTCTGATAATTAATGTAAACGTTCCTCTGCACAGATGGGTCTGCAGCTAGCCTGGATGTGAAAATACACCATCCTTGCTTCACTCTGAAAGACCCCTAAAGCCACGTATGTGTTATACTTACCAGTGTGAAATAAAAATTACTTTCTTGTAGTCGTCACCGTGGCTTTTTAACCTTGGCATGGCCTAAAAACTTTGGGACCACTGTTGCCCCTAGATGTAACTCCGTACCTTCATGTCTCATCAGCCAGCTGTTCACTGTCAGGATTTGTGAAGCCTGGGGTGAGGACAGCGGCGGTTTCTCCCTCCCAGGACATTCTGTTAGTCTGGTTATTTCTGATCTTCCTCACGCAGCCCCCAGAGTGTGAAAGGCCGGAATGACACGTTTTACTTGACACCGGAGCCAGTGGTGGCCCCCAACAGCCCTATCTGGTATTCCATCCAGCCGATCAGCAGAGAGCAGATGGAGCAGATGCTCACCCGGATCCTGGTGATACGAGAGATTCAGGAAGCTATTGCTGTGGCTAATGCCAGCACCATGCACTAAGGCATCCTTCTTGGCTCAGAAGGGGTGGGGCGGGGTGACGGGGGAGGGACAAGCAAAGATAAATTGTACAGACTTTTACACTAAAGGAGATGCCTAAGTTTTTGGTTTTTTATTGGTGTAGTTATGAAGCCCTTTTAGGCTTCTTCTCTTTAAAAGAATCTAAAGGAAAACCTACCCATTGTGTATCCTACCCAACACACCAAACTGTTGGAACCATTGGAGGCTGCATATCCCCTGCGAGCTGGGAGCTGTGGAAAGCTGCTGGTTGACTCTGGTTTTTTTTATGATGTAGAAAACATGAACTACAGGATTGGCCTGGATGGCTGAGGCCTCTGTCTCCTTGGAGCACGCGCAGCCTAGAGGGCACAGAATGATGGATGGACCTGCTCAGCCAGTGGAGGAGAGGCAGGCATCTTCTTTTCTTGTGCTTGGACGTTAATTTGCTGTTATCTTGGAAGGAAGAGGAGAGAGTGAACTGCAATTGTGATTTATACAAAAAAACAAACCAACGATTTCTATTCAGACCTTTAAGTGACATTTTTAGATGTTAAAAGTACAAACTTTACCACACTCTTCTTTTTTTGGCCTAACATTGAGGCCTTAAACCTTGAGGCTCCTGTGCCTGATGGAATTCTTGTAACATACACTTGTGTATCATATAAAGATACCACCCTGTTTCTCTTATGTATTCTTACTCTAGTTGTTTATTAAGAATGACGAGCACGTCTTTTCAACATGCCATTGAACAATGTGTCTTTATTTGGGGAAGAGTGAGCTGTGAGGGTGGGGGGGGTCATTATACAAAGATCAGTATGCAAACTGGTTGTTTTCATCCCTGTTTGTGCTTTCCAGCTCGACTCCGCTGGACTTCTTTCACCCCTACAAATTAGGAAGGTAGAAGGGGATTAACTTCTGTTGAAGGACCTGAATGTCTGCTCGCTGACGGAAGCTCAGTGTCAGGCTAGGAACATGGGATCTGTGAGACCACATCAGGCTGTCAGTCTGTCCTAATGTTCTGTGGCCAGCCTGTGAGGCTTCACCCCTAGGCAAATCCCCCTCTCCCCACCTTTACGAACGCATCACACCAACGGCATGATGGAGGGGTGTTGGAGGGAAAAGGCCTTCCAGGAGCAGCACATGGCTTACTCCTGCCATTTAACAGCCTTTTCACAGTTTTTAACACAGCTGTGTAGCTTCTGGCATCGTTCATGATCATAAACCCCAGCCCTGTAGCCTTGCCTTGCTGCATCTTAAATGGTTGCTGTATTTTATATCATTATCAAGTAGTCTGCTCTTTTGAAGCCAGCGGGTAGCCAACCGTGCTTGAAATGGGAGATCACTCTAGCCAGGCTTGTTATTTGTGCCACCAGCTTCTTGGATGCGGAGAGGTGACTCTGCTTCTTGAACTTGTCTTCCCTGCTTCTCCATCTCATGTCCCTTCCCTGTTCCAAAATATATAGATATATATTTAAATATATATTACAGTAAAAGAACTTAAACTTGTGTACGGGCAAGCAATTTTTCTGAAGCTTCTGTTGACCAGCACCTGTCTGTATTGAGAAGGAAGGTCTGCCCTCTCTGTCGGTTGTGCACAGTGTAAATCTGCACATAGGATGAGAGTAGCCATGATGTTCCCCGCCTTCGTGCTCTTGATCAGTGTTGAGGTGTGCGGGCTTAGAGAGACTTCAAGCCTCTGATGCTTCATATTGATGTTGGTGTTCATGAGAAAGCAGATGTGCTTGAGCTGGTTGTCAGTATGAGCAGTTTGTTCCCTATATAGGGCTCTGTGCTCAATTAAATGCAGAGAAGTGAAGTAGCAACGCGCTGTTGTTCGCTAATGCCTGTACTCCAAAGTAGACTCTTAGCTCAGTGTCTGCCCTCAGAGTTATGCCAGGGGAGAATAGCCCGGGGTTGGTGCCCAGATCCCAGTGGGTAAGTTGGGAAGATGGTGCCCGGGTGGTGTGTAGTGCTGGCAACACATACCCCCAGCTCAGTTCAGCTGTTGGGAGCCAGCAGTTGCCTCCTGCTAGGGTGGCTGTCGGGATCACTAATACTGCTTCAGCTGTCAGAAGCCTGTAATCCCTTCACCATATCTTTAGTGACTGGAATGTCCATCTCTGGCCCTAATTTAAGTATTTAAGGACATGGTTAGGGGCAAGCTCCCACTGTTTCAAGCAGCTGGGTGTGCTTGTTGCTCAGGATGCCCAGCAGGCCTACACAGAGTGGATTTCCCGTTCTTTTGGGCAGCTTGTCCTGCCTTCTGAACAGAGTTGCAAAGATGTGAGAGAAACTGCAGACAGCTGTGCTCGAGTCCCAGTGTGTGCTCCGCAATACCGCATGGGAAGCTAGCTCCAGCGTGCCTGCCCCTCGGCGTGAGATGCTGCTTTGTCTGTCTCCATCAGAAACGCGGTGGGTGTTGAAGTCATCTGCCAGATACCCAGTGTACAAGTTGCTTCATTAGGTGACCTTGGGAGTCACCTCTTACTCTAAAAATTGCCAGAAGCTGGAATAACTTGACAGAACGTTAGGGCAGTTCCAGGTTAGGGGTGAACAGATACTTCAGCTGAGCTTTCTGGGGAAACAGAATTCCACATTACCTTAAACTTCTAGATTGTGCACTTTCCTTACTACCCTTAACTGCAGGATGATCTAAAATCTTTGTAGGGGAAGAGTTCTCCTTGATCTTGGAGCGTACCGCTTAGGAGTGGGGGAACTTGGCACATGGGGAGCTGTGGAGATCTCCTGATGATTGGTTTTGTCCTGACAGACTGAAGTGTTCCCATTATTTTCTCACTGTTCGGACGTGCATAGGAGAGGGATTTGCTGACGCGGAAGTGGACTGCCGTACTGTTCTGTACTGTCTCATCAGAATGTCCACCGTGTTAACTTCATTCCCTATTTTTAGAGACAATCGATATACTGTGACTTAAGGATTATTTTCCTGGACCTGGCTTCTAGTCTGGCTCTCCGGAGCTAGTTTAAAAGGTACAGTATTTCTAGAATATAAATACTAAGTTCTTTGATAGTGAAGAACATGATCTGCTCCCTTTTAGGGGCTCATAGGAAGACGTGCACAGAGTAGCACAGAAGAGTGCTGTGGCTTAGGGTTGCTATCCAAGTTCTGGGAAACGTTCCCGGTCAAACATGTAAAATAGCTTTTTAACACTTTCCTATAACCAGCTTGACTGCTGCTTAAAGGGCATTCCCCCTCAGCTCCGAGAGTGCCAAACTGCTAGCTCTTGTATGCGTGTGTATATTAAATGAGAACTCTCCATGCCCTGTATGAGACAGGCTGAAAGTGCATCGATCTCTAAATAAACAAAGCTGAGAAGTCAAGCTAGAGACCCTGCGCTGCTGGTGTCGAACTATGCCCATCTTGTCTCTGTGGTATGAAAGGAACCATAGAAAGCAGAGCATGACTGACGATTGTAAAGCACCTCACATTCTGACATGAGACTCGTGTATTGTCCTCTCCCTTGACACTAATAGCGCTGCTTTCCTAAGGAAACTTGTAACCTCTTACACACTTGTCCACGGCACCATTAGATTTTCATTTACTTTCAAGAGTTCAAGCATTTCCTCTAAGTGGCAATGGCTGAAGCAGCGGAGAGCAGACTGGGGAGTGGCTCTTCACTCCCGTCTAGAGTGGTGAGTAAAGGGAACGGTCTAAGTAACTTAACAGGGCTCTCATCTGTTGGCTGCTTCACCCCTAGAGATCTCTCCTGGATTTTAGATGGGAGACAAGGTCCGAAGTAGTTCCTGAACTGTTCTGCCTTGAATCAATGAAAAAAGACTTAATCTCATCCCTAAATAAGAACTCTCGTCTGCGTGGCTGCTCCTAGGGCAGAAATGAAGACAGTCTTGTTCTCAGCTGCATCAGGGCTGCTGTCTGCCTTGGTGCGCGTAGAATGGATTAGGCCATCTTCAAGCCTCCTATGCTGTGATAAGAACAGATCCAAAAGTGGTGCAAAAGAGCCCTCTGAGCCCACGTGGGGTGGACTTGCTGATACTGTCATTGCTCATCCTCTTGCTGGTCTGAGTGCTGCTAGACACTGACTCTGCACAGTCCAACCAAACTGCATTCTCATCCAAGTTTAATAGTGACTTACTTGCAATTAGTGTTTGGACTCTTAAATCACTGTTAAAAGTGGGATATAAACTGTCTTCCACCCTATACGGGGCTTTTCTCCCCATCTTCTTGCTGGAGCTGCTCCTCTTGAATACTACAGGGAGGGAACGTACCTTAGCCTGATGTTTCAGCCTGTTCTGTTTCACTGGTGCCAATGCATAGGAAAGAGCCCTTCTCAGCTCGAGCATCTTCCTACCTTAAGGAGCATCTCAAATCTTCTACAACTCTCACTGACATGCTGCCCCAAGTATCTCTGAAGCGATTGCCGTGTCCCCTACTTGTCGGTTCCCTTTGTTGCGTGGCTGAAGCTCGGCTGTCAGCACTGCAGTCACTTTCCCTGTATAACCTTGTGCATGGCAGCCACGTTTGCCTGCTTCTCCGTTCTCGTTTGAGCTCATCAGCATGGGGAGGCAGATTGAACCCACTTACAGCAGCAATAAACCGCATCTAGAACTCGAGAGGGAACTGCAGGAGAGAACGAGGTGGGGGGATGTCTCAGAAAGGCAGGGTCCAGTTGCAGCCCAGAGCCTCGCTTGATAATGAGTGTGCAGCCTATATGCAAAATACGTCTTGTCTGTCCCTCCCGTGTTGACCCTGGTCTAAACAGCACATGTGATTGGCATCCTGCAAAGTGACCTTCAGAACTCTCCAGTAGCTTTGCCCCGTGAGTAACTCACACTACAAATCATTTTAAAGAGATGCACTCAACTATTTTTTTAATTTAATTTTACTCTTATATTCTCTGCTCTTTGTAATCTGCTTGGAAATAAAATGTTTTTCCCTGCAGCCTTTGTTGTAGTCTGTTTGAGAACCATTAAACTTTGTCTGGTGTTTCTATTGGAACGGAAGCCAACTTGCCTGTTTACTGCTGTGCCCGTGCTCAAGCGTAACAGCCGAGATCGGTGTGTGCCTCCCGGATAGGCTTAGCAAACCTTTGTTAGCACTGGCCTTATTTAAAATACGGGGTAGAGAGACCTGTTAAACTGATCTTGGTCTGGCGCGATGCCTCCCGTTCTGCTGATCCTGTGACAGGTAACGCTGACTCGAGAGTGCGTGTCCTTGGCAGGCGGCATTTTCCTTTGGAAGGCTGCGTTTCTGAACTCGGCCTCCGGGATGAGCATCTCGGTGCCTTTACCGGTTACTGCTTTCGGTGGTGTGAGCCTAGATGCTTTACGTACTGCAAAGGACACTGCTTATAGCTCCATAGCCCAAGCCAACGGCAAACAATGGGAAATCAGTGTCTGGATAGGTAAAATCGACTCTTGGCTGAGAATCGACCCAGGAATTGTGTAAAGAAGTAAAACCAGGGTGAAGTGCAATCTTTTATAGCAGACTGTCAGGGAACGAGAATCGAAACCCTGTGAAGTTCGGAGCGTAGCATAACGACAAGCGCTGTTAACGCGTGGCTGTGGGAAGGTGGCGTGGATGTTGCCCTTCGCAGCAGCAATAACGGGATCGCTACCGACCTCTTGGCTTGAAGTTTTAAGCGGCATTGTGGACCCTTGTCGCTGGCTCTTAACTATGCGAGGCCTGCCTTTTCTTAATTACGTGAGGGCCCCTGGAAGCCACACTTCCCCTTCCTCACAGCAAAGCGAACATCCCTGCGCTGAGGCATGTGCCTTCCTTTCCTGCTAGAAACAAAACCACAATCTGGTGGGAAACCACTATAACTTTTAGAAGCTGCAGCCTCTGTTCTGTGCAGCTTACTGCTGTCGAGACCAAACAAGCCACCTGAGAGTCCTGCTTCTGTCCATAGCATGGTTCGCTCATTTGGGTTCCTCCCCTCCCCGTGTAAAAGTCAACATTAGCATCTACCAAAGCCCAGCTTAACTGGTCTCTCTCTAAACTCCGCGTTGTCTTTTGGAGAACCTTGCTCAGACCAAAACATGTTCGCCCAAACTACAGGACTGAACCTGACCAACGAACCTCACAGCATACAAGGGCTTCCGAGCATTTCGGGAGACCTGAAGAGATGTCTCTGTTCACGTTTCCTGTGTCCTATAGCTGGGTAACACGAGTAACGCTTGCGTTTTATTACAGCTACTTGCTGTTCTTTGGACAAGGATTTAGTCTACTGCAGTACGACAGCTGGCGGTACAGGAGCACCATTCTTTAGTTTCCTGAACTTAGTGTTCAATACTGGGCTGTCCTGGAGGGACTGTCGTGCAAAAGCAGGGTGAGAAGGGGTCTGGCCGCCTCATTTCCCTGGTGCTCTGAGGCCAGATCTGGTCTGTCACGACAAGCAAACCAACCGTCAGAGGAGGAGGTTGTTCTGTAGCCCGTAGTACAGGAACTTCTCCCGACACCCAGACGGGTCTGCAGGGAGGGGAACCTCTTCATCCTGGAAACACCGAACACCGGTTCCTGCAACTCTCCTCTCAGGCAGATCGGTGTTTGTGCCCGTTCCTCTCCCGCAGGCGCCGTCCTCCCTACTCCTGCTACTGCTCTTCTCTGAAACCCTCCCTCCAGCCGCCCTCTGCGGCGCAGGCAGGCAGGTGCTACGCCGAGACCCCCCCGCGTGCTATACAGCGCAGCCACGCTCTTCACGGTACTCGTGCGTACGGCCTGGCGGCTTTGGGGAGGGGGCTTGTGCGAGGCTAACGCTCAGCTGGGATCACCT